GTGTCACCAGGGCCAGAGTTAGGGTTGCTGGGTGGCCTATCCTAATATCTAACTTTTTGACAGTGCTTGTCTCTTAATAGCAAAACATTATAAAATCACTGATCTGTGCTCTCAGACACTGAACCCACCCCATCCAAATAAACAAAGAAAATAACCACAGCAGTGAGTCTGAGATTCCGTGCCAGGGTTTTTTTTATGCAGTGTAGGCATTAGGCACTCTGTAGACAAAGACTGTAGTTAAAAATTCTGTTATGAGCCAGAATAGACTCCAGCTCACTTCCTGAAGCTGTTGGCTCTGTAGAGCCAACAGAAAAAAGGGGACAAAATGTTTAATTACATAAATGTGACTTGGAATACTTAAGTGGCGGTTCTAAGAATCTGCCTTTTTTACATTGTTGCTTTTCATAGTAGAACAGCAATTCGAACAGCGTTAAGGGGGAAAACCTAACTGATGTGGAAGAAAAAATAGGTGACTGTCTCAAGTAACACAATGTAATACTCTGTGTACAGCATCTCTTTTATTGGACACACCTACATTTTCACTTTAGTTAAGAAGCTTCTTGATGCAGTTAAGTAGAAGGAGCTGGTTACTTCTCTCTTTGTTATGATTTCTAAGCTAGGAGTCTCTCAATGCAGTAATCTAATAATAAACATGCAGTATGTTGTGGGATGTTATTTTGGCCTGTTTACTCCCTACACTGGAACTGCAGGATACTTTTCCCAGGAGGGTTTATTCCTGATTCTGTTTACCAGGCCATAAATCAACTGATGTTCAACCATGAACTCCAGGCAAAACATGTCTTTGAATCACATGTTCCCCAAAGCAGCTACTGTACAAATGTTAATAGCTACAGAGCCTAGGAAAGACTGCACTCTTACCCCTTAAAGATAAATGGGGTGTGTCTACACTGCACATGGGAGGTGTGATTGGAGCAACCATAGACCTACCCAAGCTAGTTTAGCTCAAAGCCAGCTCAGGTAGCAGTGAAGTTTTGGCAGCACAGGCTAGCCCCATCCACTCAGGAGCCGGGGTAGGTGCTTTGAATGGCTAGCACCCATGCTGCTGCAGTTTCGCTACTATTGTTCAAAGCTAGCATGAGTAACCAGCTAGATCTTGCTACACATGCTGCCATCACACTTGATTACAGTGTAGACATACCTCTCGTGTTTGTAAATAAAGCTCAGTTTCACTCTTGCCTTTTTCTGCAGTGTGTTCAAGTCAGAGCCCAGTGCAGATGTTATACCCCATATTCTTCATAGAAATATTATCTTAGTTGTGCCATATTCTATGTCTTATGCAAGATGGGTCATGTGAGGTATCAGTGAAAAGGTTATGATTTACTGAATGTATTTATCTCATTTGTATGCATGTATCATTTCTGTATCTAAAGTTAGGAATATTGTCTATGTGCTTGGGAAACGCCCACCAGAAAGTAAGTAATCAGCCTTAATGAGCCATTAGGAAAAGACAATGAGTGTTCAAAGATGTAGGACCCCTCCCCCCACACACACACACCCCTACCTACCTACCTACCTATTTACCTTCTAGGAATTCCTTCCTGTGGACCTTGCAAATAAACATTGTCTCATAGTTGCCCTGACTCTGCAAGGTCATGTGCTAATGTCACAGGGTACAAAATACCACCTTGGACACTGCTGGTACTTTTCCACTGGAAACAAAGGTTTCCCACCTTATGTAAATTCTATTTAAGGCTGGGAAGCAAGACAATCCAGACTCTCCTCCATTGCCTGCCCAGGAAGGAAGACTGCTAAGAACACCTGAAGGGAAAGGTAGGGTTGAGTCCAGGTTGAGAGGGGGTCCAGTCTGTAAAAAGAAATAACTGAAACTCTAAGCTCCGGAAACTCTGCAACTTGCTGTGACAAGATGGCTGATGTTCATAGGATGGGTCCTGTGCTTTTCTTGGGGGGTGGGGCTAAGATGCCACCCTTTGCCTCTGCCTGGGAAGGTGGTAGAGGAGGGAAGCAGGGGAGGGGTCTGGGTTTGCTCCTCGCTCTGAGTCCCAGCCCCTCTCAACCCCTGTGGCTTTCTTATCTTCTTCCCCCTTGGGTAGGGTTACCCTCGGTCCTTAGACGCTGGGGGAGGGAGTCTCCCTGCCCTGTCTCCCTTACTTCAGTTCTCTGGTCTTTCAGCTCTCACAACATACCTCCAAGCTCCAGTCCTCTTCCCCTGACTGCCTGAACCAATTAACCTGTAGCAACCCTCCCTAGTCTACAGGGAACCATGCCTTAATTAGCCTAGGGCTTATATATTTCCACTCTACTGCTGCTCCCTGGCCCTCCAGTATCACATTGCCTAAAACAACATTTAGGGTGAGAAATTACACTCAAGAAACTGGTTACAAAATATATTAAGCTTAGTTTGTGTGTTTTGTTTTATTTGCTGAGTAATCTGCTTTGTTCTGTTTGCTATCCCTTATAATCACTTAAAATTTACCTTTTGTAGTTAATAAACTTATTTCTTGTTCATAACATAACCCAGTTTATGCAATTCATATCTGGGAGGGAAGAAGCTGTGCATATCTCTTTCCACATTGAGGGAGAGGGTGATTTTTATGACCTTGCACTGTGCAGATTTTTCTGTACAGTGCAAGACAATATTATTTTGGGTTTATTCCCAAAAGGGGATGTGCATGTGAGTGCTGGGTGAATCCTCAAGCTGATTCCTCCCACACACAGCTGATCTCGGTGTCTGTGTCTATTTGCAGCTGGGTGTCCCTACCAATGTGTGCTGGAGAAGGCTTGAGGGCCTGGCACAGCTAGGACAGGGTGAGGAAACCCAGGCTGGTTGAATGGGCAGAACCAGTGAGACACCAGCACATCAAGTAGCATCCCAGATGGGGGGGGGGTCCAACCTGTCACACCCTCCTTCATATGACACACAATCCTTGTCCCTTACTTAAAGAATAATTTCTATCATGTTTTACTCTCTGCATGAAGAGGTGGGAGAAGCGATAGGCATTTGCTTGCAATGGTCTACTCCTTTCCATGCTCCTGCCGTTCTTATTCCTGCACAACTCCCTTTGACAAAACACCAGGGGCCTTGATTCTCTGAGGGGCTGAGCACTATGCAGTGCCATTAATGTCACTTGGTGCTAGAAATGCTCAGTACTTCTAAAATTCAGGCCCCATAATACTTTGTTGGTAGGCGTTGTGCAGACCTGAGAACTGCAAGAGTGGGGAAAGATTCTGGTATAGAGATCCTTGTCCTTCTGAGAGCTGATGGAAAGAGGCATCAGTGACTGCAGACAATCTCTTACTATCCAGGCCCTTTAGCTGTAGACTGAACTAGGAGTAAGCATTCAAAGTGGTCACTCAACATGAAAGACTGAAGACTGGTGGTGGTGATCGCATTTAGTACAATACCTGGAACTTCTACAGCAGAGTTAAGAGTTTAATACTCATTAAATAAGTTAAACCTCACACTACCACAGTGAACTACATAAACATTATCCTCATTCTGTGACTAGGGAAACTGAAGCATGGGGCAATAACAACATAACTTCCTTTTTTCTAGGGTTTCTTTAATTCTCTTCGGCCTGAACTTGGTGAATACCCGGAGATAATCATTACCACCATCTGTCCAGGACCTGTCCAATCCAAAATTATACACAATGTCTTTACTGAAGACCTCTCAAAGGTAAGGAGCAGATATTTCCCTGCTGAAACTCTGCTACAGTAGAAGCTAATTCTGTTACAAGCATAGTAAAACTTTCATAATATTTTCCAATGTAGAACTGAGCTCCTCCGTGTTAGCTTCCAGCAGTAAGGAGATGAATACCCTACAGTGTAATAAAGGAACATTATATAGGCCCAGATTTGTAAAGGTATTTAGGCATTGTGGTGCTCAGTGTTGCAATGCCTAACTGATTTAGGAGTCTAAAAATCTCATTCTTCAGAAGTGATTTAGGCACATAAATCAGTTAGTCATTGCAACACTGAGCACCACCATGTCTAAATACTTTTAAAAATCTGGGCCTTTGTCCCTAACTTCATATAGAATCACACCCTTACTCACCTTTGCAAATGGTGTATCTTCCCTTTCCTACGTGCACAAGTGTGTTAATCCCTTTGTAGGTGATTGATTTGGTGTACACCCTCTCATTCCAGGCAACCTGGAACCTGGAACTATGCAGCCAACCCGTGGTTGCAAACTCCCTGTACAGTCAGCTTTTACTCACAGAATCACCCTGTTTTGCTGCATAGAAGCCATTTTGCAGCTGCAAGGAAAGGGTCTGGATTAGTCCCACAGAACTTTGAAATGCAGAATACATTAGCTGCCATCTAGGCAACTTCTGTCTGCTCAACTCACAAAGTTCACTAATTCTGTTGACTCGATGGTGCAATCATTGGCAAAGCTCCTACTGTTGTCAGCTTCAAAGCATGCATTCTTGGAAAGCCAAGGAAAATCTCTCAAGTTCCAAAACGGTTTCAGATAAACTATCCTGCGAAAAACCCCTAGTAATTGAAATTGGTGAACAATTTTTTTTGGGGGGGAGGGAGGGTGTCTACAAACTACCCAGCAAACATAATACCTAGGATAATTCCCTGCCATGTGGGGAACAGGCCACCTCTCCTGTACATTCGAGCCAGGTTCTGGTAGGTGCTTGTGTAACTGTACTTTCACAAAAAATAAAACATTGTGTCTAAAGTTATCTGTTCTATTAAAACCCCGCTGAGAGCAAAACACTGGAGATCAGCATCTTCCTTTGATTCTTTAAAAATAAAAAATTTCTCAGGCTCCTGGGGATAAAAAGTCTGGTCCTGCCTCTTTCCACAACCAATCAATCAGGGAGTGTTTTCCTTAGCAGCCTACCCAGTAGGCTGCGTAGAGCTGCTGTAGCCTTTGGAGGAAAATGACTTCTCCTTAGCACTCACATCTAGTTGCTTGGGTGGGGCTTTGGGCCCAGGTCTATTATATAGGCTTCATTTACCCCAAGTCCTACACTGTTCATATAAAATAAATAGAGACCAGTCCTCTGGCCAGCCTACTTTGCCAGAAGCCACAAGAGACCTGTGTTTTATTATTAGGGATACATATGCAATGAGCTGTGATCCATTTAAAAACAAAGTATAACTCCCCCTTAAGGATGCAGCATAAATGAGGGAAGGAGGGAGAATGGCATTGGGGAAGACATTTTGTTTTGAATTATGTATGCTCTAAATGCTCTGATGATGGGTACACAGGAAAGCCAAAGATGGGGGAATGAAGTAAATTTTTCTCCAGGCAAAAGTTCTGTAGCATTTTGTCATTCCTCTTTTTTTCCCAGTCCCTAGATAACACCGGTGATCAGTCCCACAAAATGCCAACTGATCGCTGCGTTCGGCTTACATTGGTCAGCATGGTAAATGATCTGAAAGAAGCTTGGATCAGTGATCACCCATATCTAGCAGTCTGCTACCTTTGGCAATATGCACCCACCTGGGCATGGTGGCTTATGAACAAGATGGGCAAAATAAGAATACAAAACTTCAAGAGTGGAGTGGTAAGCCATACCTAACAGGGTGTTTCTGTAGATCCTTTCATCTCTTAGTAGAGACTTTAGCTCTCAATGTAGGCTGCATTCTGGGTCTGCTGTTCATCTTCCTCCCTGCTTGGTACCACATTTGGACACTACACAAGCATATACAGCCCCACGGGTTATTGCTGTTCAAGCAGAACAGTGACATGAGTAAGCTTATGACAAAACATTTCACCTCAAATATATCTAGTCTGCAGTGCACAAATGTAGGTTCAGAGCTGGATACTGAGCAGCTGCTATAGACCTGGCCTGCACTATGCTCTGTCACTACTATAATATTTAAAGTGACTTGAGCAATAGATTTGGAATTCAGACAGGCTGAGAATCTCTCACTTCCTTGCAAGTATTGCTTATGTCACATACTTAAAGCTGTGTCTGAGACAAAAGCCTCATTTTAGGTAGAAAAACCTATATTATGCAAAAGGTTAAGCACTCTAAAATCAAGCAGCAAAAGTTTCATGTGCACACTTAAAGCTGTCCTCCTGCACAACACTATGGGATCAGATGCTGACAATACAAATACAAGTAGAATGGGATTTTTTTTTTAACTCCATCTTGTGTGAAGGATTTCCAAATCTAAATGAATAGAAAATGGAGGAAAACATTGCTTAAAATGTGTTGTGTTCTCATTATTACAGGATGCTGATATCTCCTACTCTCAAAAGAAGAAAGCTTGAAGAGAAACCTGCACAAAACCCCACTAAAGCAGAGTAGTAGCTGTAGCAGGAGGCGTGTTCTGTCCTCTGTTAATCTTTGCAAGTTAAGGCCTTTATTTTTTAATTCCTTACTTTTTTGCTATCATGTAACCTGACAAATGCAACTTAATGTGATTGTAAGAACATTTTTGAATAAAAGCATGTCTCTAAACATATCTGCTTTACTGTTGCAGGGCCTTCTATAAATTCATTCTTTAGGTTTATAAAAACAATGGTAGGAGGACAGGAACCCTATCGTGATCTTTCTGCTGCCATGAGTTTACCCTGTATTTGGAGGGTAGCTACGAATCATAAACTACTTGATCCTATTTCCACCATTCTCACGCCTTACAGACCCCACCCACCAGCCCAGATTCTTCCCTTCCTGGAGCCTGAAAGCCCCATGCCCCATAAGCTGGTTGCACCCTGGGCTGACATTCAGGACCAATATCAACCAAGCTATGAAGGGGGAAAAGAGTGTTTATTGCTTGTGAGGGCTACTCTAGAAGGGCAGCACTGAGGCTGGATAACTTGTGCACACATCTAATCAGTCTGGATGGGAGGGGATGCAGCAGGCTTGTGGCTTTCCCGTTAGCCCTGCATTGTTTAGGGGAAGGCACTTCCCCTCTCTACATAGGGGAGAAGTAGTTGCCAACTGAGCCCTCTCTCTTTTTAGTAGAGTTCTGCTCAGGTAGTCAGGGTCAATAGTTCTAAATGTCTCAGCTGTCTTGGACACCAAGTCAGCAAGGACTCTACCTCCTGCTAGAAGATCTCCTTCCTATTAGTACATAGGAAAGTGGAGGAGTCTGACTGCCCTGCTGAAGGGCTTTGGCAGTCAAACAAGTTCAAGTGTAATAGCTTTACACACCTAGATTGTCCAGCTGAAGTCCAGTGCCCTGTTGCCCTCCACGGGGCAAAAGCTGGGGGTGGAATTGGGAGGGAGCTGCGGGAAGACTGCAAGGGGGAGCCCACCTGCATCCTGAAGTACCCCCCTGCCTACATACAGCCTCTATAATGGTTTGTTTACACTGGAGGAGGGGAAAGCCTGGAATAGCTAGTGTGCACTTCTATAGAAACACTCCAAGGCTTCCTTTGTGAAAGGGCAGCTGGTAATACACATTAAATAAAATGATTTGAAGTTATACATTATAACAAGTTCTAAAAAAATCAAAATACATCAATATATAAAATGATCAGAATAAAAATTTCATATAAATATTCATATGTACACTTTGGTTACCAATTCTACAGTTCACTATACTACAATGAGCTGTAACCTGCCCACGAATGCAAGTCACCTGTCAAGCTATTTAAAAAAAAAAAAGCACCAACAACAGTTAGTGGCCAGAGCTAAGTCTCTCTTCTCTGAAGTGGAGATCAAGACATGTGTGGCAGCCACACAGGGAAAGGGGCTTGGGTAGTTCCAGCAGTGAAAAAACAGGTTCTAAAGTTCTTGCCTCCAGCTAGCACCCTTTCTGTGCAAATTAGGTTTCCTTGGTTTGGCAACTGCCATCCAATGCCACTCAATGAGATCTTCATATTTCTAGTTAGACAAATGCAGCATTAGTGCTTGGTTTCCTACTTACAGATAGGAAATACAAAAAGAAACACCTTACAACAAAGGCACATGGAGAGATGCAGATGAATAAACAGGGTAGCCAAGCGGTGGGTCTGCTGCTTGAACAGTAAGGTTTCTCAGAAGGACTGGGTGAGCTTGTATACTGTAGCGTTCTTCATCATCATTGGTAGCATACAGCAGCTCCCATGAAAGATTTGCCCATTGACCTCGGACAGCTTCGTTGTTGAGCTTCCCAACCTGCACTAACAATTCCTGAAGGGTAAGCACTCTGCCAGTGTAAACTCCCTTTGAAAGAAAAAACATTTAATTTTCAGTACACTATCTAATAGAATCAGACAAATATAAATGTTTCAGTTACAGAGCAGAAAGGGAATAGTTAGCATCATTCTGGGTACTGTCTTTTTAAAACTGCCTCGTCCATAATTTCAACAGGTGAAACTGTGGAGACTGCAATTTAACAAGTGAGACTTTCAACAGTGCAGTTCCTTGAACCAAATAATGTCACATGCACTGGTCCCTTCCCAATATTTAGTGTAAGATGAAAGGCGTATAGGCCTCTAGACTATGCTGTTGCATATAATTAACTAGAACTGTTGAATCTTTAATGGCTGAATGCTTGAATATCCCATGTCATAGTTAACAAATGCTGCGGCATTTGCAGAACAGCTGTCTAGCGATTTCCAGCAGTACTAATGCCAAATTTTGTCAAGCATTCACTTGTTCTTTGGATGTAAAGTTCTCTGTAAAGTCTTGGAAGTAAGACACACATTAAAATAATGAGCAGTGGAAAAAAATACATTAATGTTGCATTTTTTTTCCTCCCCTTACCATGTTAGGATCATGTCCCAAAGAAAAAAGATACGGCTTTTCCTGTAAAACTGCTTGTTGCCACTCAATATCTGATACTAAACCAATGTACCAGTCACTTTCATATTCTTCCAGATAGTTAATCAGCTCTTTGAAGTTCTCTACTGGACCCAGGCTTGCTTTGTCAACCATGAGCTTAAACGTATATCTGAAAGATGCATAACAGAATGCCTAGAGTAAGTATACACTTCAGAGAGAGGGACAAAGCACTTATCAATAGCAATGTAGCTATGATAACCCACTTACAGGTTGTTATATAGTTGTTTCAGTTAGCTCAAACATTGGCACTATGGACTGATCATGGAAAATGCAAAATATTTAATTTCAGAACTAATTTGCTATACTATTTGGCAATGAATATGGTGACTTACTGTCATTTAGATAGCAAATATCTCTTCACTACATATAGTTTAAAGCCAACTCTGAAAGCACAAATGCTCTCTTCCGACAGCGTTATGCTATGTTTTATAATACGCATGGCTTTTTACCTGAATGCTTTCAGTGCTAGTTGGAAAAGCTCTGGTTTTCCAGTTAGCCAATCCAAACCAACACACCAGGGAATGCCACCAGTGTACGCTCTAAATACATGACTAGGAGCAGGAACTGTACTGTCTAGTCCAAACAAACCAAAGCAACAAGACAATACACCATGGACGTACAACTCTTTCAAAGCTTTGTCTTTAGTAATGTCTTCAAGTAAATTGGAAGGTTTTTCTTTCAAATGAAAAAAATCCAGTTGACTCAAAACAAAATGGTACCAGTCTTCTGGAAACCTCTGCCTCATCTCATTGAGTTTGGAAGTAGGTATGGGTGCAGTTCTCCACTCTTCAGGTATGCTTAGCAACTCAGAGTAGGAGCAGCTAAATTCAACTAAAGGTAAGCGTACAACTTCCTGCTTCTTTCCTTTGTCTACAGCAGGGAGTCCAAGCACAACAGCTTTGTAGAGTTTATCTTCAGGTGCTGTCTCTTGCAGAGCACCAACTGCACTCTCCATTTCTACTGACCCTGGAACAGACAAAAGTGTTCTTGGTGCAGCTTCCAATGGCTTGGTTTCTTTTCTTTCTCTTGTTTTGCTGGGGTCAAGATCAAAAAGATCACTATCATCGGTCCAATCCGCAATTGTATCTACACTAAAGCTATCTTCATCCTTTATGGGCCTGGGTTTTTCTACTGCACTGTCAAATGCTTTGGGCTGGGTTAATGGAAATGACCCTTCTTTGTTCTTGGTTGTTTTGTCCAGCTTCTCGCACATTTTTGATTTTTTATAGCAATACTGGACAAGTATCCATACAAGCACTTTAAGGAAATCATCTTTCAGTTGCTTTAAGTTCTCATGTGAATCAATTATTCCAGACAAGACATTCCTGGCATCAGAATACAGTCTCACAGGTAGAGCAGTACAAGGAGTTAAAATATTTCCAAAATGATGATTGAGAGAGAAAGTCTCTGCATGCTCCTGGTGTTCAAAGGCCATTTCAAAAACTTCATCCACTCTGTGTGCTTCAGCAGTGTGGCAGGAAGTTTCCTGCAATTCTAGCCCCTATAGCACAAATGGAAACAAGTCATCTTTGCTCTCTGGCCGAATAAGCAATGCTAACAAATGCTATTTTCTTGTATTAAAAATTATTCCCAGCAATTGAAGACACACTTCCATTTCTAATATTTCTGGCATCAATGAAGCTAAGTTTTTTTTTTATATAGCACCCATCATACAATCTAAGATGGACTACAGACATTAAATACAGACATGATAAATCTGAACTTTCTTTAGAACCTTGCATTTTATTTGCCATGTTACCTTTGCCCCTTACAGATCAACCGTATACGGTTATTTTTACAAAAAATGTCTTGAGCCACAGGACGAGTGACACAGTAGTTCTGTACTTGCTAATCTAGTAGTCCCCACCCCCCAACTTCTTCTAAGTCATAACTTGCTTATGTGCTTCAGATTGTTTCAAATGTATTATTACGGACTTAATGGTGCAACACAAAAGATCCTATCAGTTGCAAAACTAAATTAGCTACACACTCAGAATATATTAACCTTATGTAATGTGTTATTTGTGCTATTACAGGAAGTTACACAAAAACAAATGTGTGTTTCCCCAAAACATGACTAGGTAAGTTTTCAGTAAATATTCACCTTAATATTAACACAGCAGTATGTGAAGCCTCTTTCTAGTACTAATATCCATATCAGTCTGTCCTGAAAACGGCACAAGTAGTGTGATCCAGGTAAAGACAGACCTAAAAAAGATGCAGAAAAAGTTAACTTTTACTGTTGGATTCTGTTGATTAAGGTTTCTTCTGTACATTGAGGAAACCATTGCAAAGACACTCTTGTATGAAATAGTTTGTGGCCTGCGATGTCCTTGCAACAGCCAAGCACATTTACACAGCAACAATGATCCTGCCAGAACCAGTTTGGGTTGGCCAAGCACAGCACAGGTGTTGCTTCAGAGAATTCCTGGCTTCTTGATGTACATATCCCATAGTGCCCGCAACCGTTACTAGCTGGAGCTTGGGGGCAATTTGCCAGTATGAGGCATTGCCTTGTGAATGGGGTTAGAATGGCCAGCAGAACTAAGGCAGCTGCAATGCTTGTGGTTTCCTCTTGCAATATGAAGGAACTACTGTAGACTACACTGGTTGAGCTGGAGACCTATTCCTCGATGTTACAACCAGAACTTGTAAAACATCTTGAAATATTTGGTGAATTTGTGTACACAGAGAGCTTGCCAAGCACTGCTTTTTGCCATACTTTCTTCGGTATAGATTGAGCCTTTGTGCATTAGCGTCCACAACTTTACTTAGATTATGGACTGCTGCTTATATTAAACTACCTTGTGTCAGGTCAAGAATAGAAACCAAAGCAAGTAAGGTGCAAATCTGGATCCAAATACTGTGTCCAGAACAATGAC